TATTGGCTTCGGGTGAAGCGGGTTTGCTTCCGCCGTCGGAGCTGCAGGTTCTCCCGCACATGCGCGATGAAGCCTGCTCGTACGCGTCGAATGCATTGACGCGCTCGAGCTGCTCAGCCGGTGTTGATACCACCAGGCTCTGCAGGGCCTCCATCCCGAAAGATGCCTGCCATCTTCCGAACCGACTCGAACTGAGAGTCGTTCATATGGGAGAAGTCGTTCCTATCCATGGCAACGAACTTCGGAGGTTCAGGTAGTCTACCCGCGATGGCGTGGATTGACTACAAGTGCTACCAAGTGTGACGGGGTCACACAGCACCTTGCGCTAGAGGAAGTTATCTTCCGAGAGTATACAAACTCTCAGTGAACGGCAGTTCACAGGTCCCCTCTTTAATTTAAGAGAGCGAAGTGACCTAAATAAGGTAGATTGTAAACTGAGTATATTTATAGGTAGATTAAGTTTGAGGTTAATACAAACTATCAGTTACCTATAGAAATGCAATGTCATTTAACCAATGGTTGGTTTTGAATGACCTTGGTACCTTGTACCAAATATCCCGGAGTATGACATGTCATACTCCTGAAGTGTGAAGTGTCACACTTCATGTAACCAGGGTACACTTAGTGCTACGTACCCCGTTACAGAAAGGTAGGCGCGGTCGGTAAGATGGGAGGAAACTGTATTAGACAGGCCGGTGTAGCCAGGCGAAAAGGCAGGCAAAAGCAGCAAGAGGGGAAAGCGACGGACTGATTGACAGACGGACGGACGGACAGGCTGCAAGTTTGGGTGGCGGGAAATTTGCACAAAGCTAATACATTATCCGAAGGCGGCATCGTTTTAAGATTTTATACTTTTTCATAATGCATTGATATTTGAGTACTAAACGGAGGGCAGGGTGCTTAGCGTACACGCGTGTTTCCGAGGACATGGTTTAAGTATACTAAATACTCTGTACTCAGTAGGATCTGCGAGTTACACTGACTAAAACGATAATTTCAAATTTTTTATTGTAAAGATATTAGCATTATTAATAACAAGTTATCTAAGTGGGTTTCTGGTATTGCTAAATCGTACATGTTACATGTACAGCAGTAGCCGGTCGTGTGGGCTTGCCGTAAGAACAAAGCTGTGCTTATAAACGTTGTCACTAGATCCACAAAGATAGATAGTTTAGATTGACGTGGAAAAGAAGTAATACAGTATGTGCTGATGACAATTACTACTGTATTGTTTCCTAAGCGTTTATTTAGACAACAAAATACTGATACTTCTTAATAGGCAGACGCGTTGCCGACAAGGCGTAGAATAAGGTTTTACATGCAGCGGTAAGATAACAACACAACATGAGAGGTGTAAATTATGGTTATTATAAGTAGGCCCGTACAGAAACGTTAATCAACTTAGAGCCTAATCTACGTTTAACCATCCTGGAATCATCGTTTAAGTATCAAATAAAAATACCGCCGTCAACAAAAGGCGTCGTGCGACGCATCGTTATATCCAAAGGCTACAGTATAACCATAACAGGCACAGATTGGAGTGTCTAATGACTAATTCTGAATCAGCACAAAATGAACACACTTCAATGCATAAGAAAATGCTACAGCCTGAATATTTTTATTAAAAATTCAAGCTGTTACACTTTTAATTTTCTTTCAAAGTAGCGAGTTTGGTATGCGAAGTGGTTAATAGTCAGTTTATTACAAGCTTAACCAGGCAGTACAAGCGGGTATTTGATGCAAGCTGGACAGATATTCTTTGCATTGTTGCAATCTAGGTTTCAGAAACGGCCCGTGAAATCGATCACGACGCTAAACTAAATATATTATTTAGCGTTTTTAGACTGAAGTGCAGGTGCTTCTGGGTGGAAGATTAAGGTACAGTGATCGCCAACAACAACAAAGAGACTTTGCCAAGATCACTAGCGTAATCGTTTATGAGCATGGTAAGTATGATGCTAGGGTCTCAGTCTTTTGTACCGGTAGAAATATTTACACGGCTTACTGGGAGCTCAGCAATTTGTAGCAAAAAAAACGCAGATTTATGAAATTAAAGAAGTCGATTTAGCCACATGGGGGACTCAGAGGATTTGGACTAATTATCCCGCCAAAGCGAAGCGAATAGGCAAAAATCTAGAGTAAAACCTAAATTACCGCCGCGTAGCGGCGGCGCTCGGCTAGTATGTATACAACAGCCGCTACCTTCGCAACCCGCAACAGCAGCCACAACAACAGCCGAGGAATCGCTCGGGTGGACATTTCTGTAACGCGTGCGCGTGATATATGTGTGACAGCTGAGATCACATGGTGTCCGAGTGTCCGACCCTGTAACCACTTAAGAGGGCTACGAACGCTCCTCCGATGCAAGGTCAAACACCTAGCCAACAATGACGGTGGCAGGAGGAAGATAAAGGGAGTGCCGCTCCTTCCTCTCGTCCGGTGGACGGCACCAGGGGACATGCTCCGAGTTCTTTGAGTGTGGCGTGTGGGCAGTTCGAAGTGACTCCTGAGTTTGGAAGGGAAGTGTATCCTGTTTCCGGTGGGAACAGTGCAATGGTAAATGCCTGAATGAGACTGGAACTGATTACGATGAGAAACACTCCGCTGGGTTGTGCGTCAAGCGCGAGGTGTACTACGAGGTGACATCAGTGATAGTCCCGGAGAATGTGAGCGCTGCTGAGTACGACAAGGGAGGAGAGGAGAGTCACGAGCAAGGTGGACTCTTTGACGACGACTACGGCGGTGATGAGTTGGCAGACAATGACGTGATTGGACACGTTGAACAAGTGAATACGGACTCGTACGAGGACTGCGAGGAATTTGGGGACGTCAAGACGCAAGTTGAATCCAATGACGACGAAAAACACGGTTACGAGGGTGACTTGGAGGCTACGGTGACTGAGGTCGCCGCCGCCCCCGCCACGGTTGAAGGTGCGAACGCTGTCACAGTTGACGGCTACACGAGTACGGAAACCCGGTCGACGAGGGTTTGACTGGTAACAATTTAGCCTCGGACGAGAGCTCTGATGGGCAGAAGCGAGATAACCGAGCGCTGGAAATGGGATGCTGGGATGGACCGCGCGTCGCGACGTGAACGTTTCAAGAGAACTTTGAGATTACTGACAAGTTGGAGAGTATAAGCAGAACAAGTGATACGGGTAATGGGAATGGTTGCTGCAGTTGCATTTACAATTTCAGATATCTCTGGCGCGGAGTCAGACGCATTAAGTGGTGATAGGGGTAACCCCGATTCTTTACATCTTTCGCAGCGGGAACGGTCAGATACCGTGCCATCTCCCCAGAGTGGAATACTCAGGAAGTCAGCAGAAGACTCAGAGGTGATCAAGGCTAAACAAGAGGCGGTGGGTGCCACTACAGAGCCTGGTCCAGAGAACGAGGATAGAGGCCCAGACTACAAGGACGGCTAGGCCCCCGATGGAGTCTCACCCAAACCCCACGTGAGGTTGTTTGCGCCCGAGGAGCTGGCCACTTTGACAGAAAGAGCCGACTAATCCGGACCGACTGAGGAGGAAGAATATGACAGGGAACTTGAGGACCGAATATACCCTCTCGACGAGGTGGGACTGATACGAAACGTGAAGGAAAACAAGAAACAGCAGAAGTAACTGACGTTGAGGGTGATGTTGGGGACCCCTGAACAAACGCTGGCTAGGGCGCGGGAGTCTTCGCCAGGCAAAGTATCCATTCCAGAATACTGTATCGATTGGTATCAAAACGAAAACGTGAACGCGCAGCAAGAGGAACAACGGAACAGATTGTTTGTACGCAACATCTACGACCGCAATCCTTCTCGATTACCTGAACCGCCTCGCGTCTTAAACAAGGGAAATCTTCGATTTACTGCATTGCCTAACAAATTACATCCGCACACACGTGGAAACGTTAATTTCGTGAAGAAAAACTCGGACTTTGTCTACTCAAGCCTGTTGGTGGGGTTCGAGACGTCGACTAATCCTCATTTCTGTCGAATGCTTGCGGAAAGCAATCAAGTGGGTAGACCTTTAAACACAAACAGTAGCACGTTTAGTTCAGCAGAGTCTCGACTACCTGGAGGTTGGGCAGTTTCGCTCTCACGTTAATGCCATCACGCCATGATGACAAGAACATGCCGTTCTACTTTCATTGTATTTGTCCCAACTTCAAGAAACAACCTTCCGTCGTGCTCAAGGATCTCGTTGAACCACAGTGTCGTGCACAGCGTCTAATTCGGCAAGTGGAAATTTGTAGGAATCCACCGTCATCATACTCGGCAATTGAAATCTCGAAAAGCACTGCTCTAGCGAGAGACAGTAGTCTGTTGAGGGAGATCTACGTTTTGGATAACGTGGCTTGTGATGACAGCAACTTGTTGAATTGGCTCAGCGATCTTCTATATAGCGAAGACTACCCGAATCCAGAGAAAAGTGTTTCTTCTTCATCGATGGTAAAGTTCAAGTCAATTAGCCTTCTGGAAAAACTTGAGTTGCTACTCAAAGATCGAGAATCTGATGCCGCGACAAAAAAAACAATCGTTGTTTCTTATGATCATGTGGGGATGCCGGTATGTTTAAAAAAAGTGTGAACGGCGGGGTTAATCAAATGATGTACTGGCTTGGTATGGCCCCCAAGGGAAAACACTGTCAAGAAGCTGCTAACGAAGTATAATGGACGCGAGGGCGAGCTTCGCTCGAAGTTGGCGCTGAAGAAAAAGTCGAAGGCCCAGGAAGAGAAAACGGTAATCAGCTAGCAAGTAATCTCCAGTCGCATTGTCTCCGCACGCATGGTGGCCTCGACGCACAGGCAGTAAACGCTATTTTGCATGACGACACGATGCGCGAGTTGCTGCAGCAAAACGAGAAGATAGTGTTGGCGCTACGAGACATGAGTTTGAGCCCAGACGTCCTCGAATCTCAATTGGGTGACCACGAGCTGCGAGGGTTTTATCAGAAGCTAATTGACTTCTTACAGTCAAAGAAAAAAGACACAGGTGATAGTGCGAGCTCTCCTAGCCACACGACAAATGATCAGCTCAGCGATCTCTGGATGAGCAAGTACTCGCTGCTGCTTCACTTGAAAATGGCGCGTTGTGGATGCGACTTGTGGATGAAGCAAGATGGGTAGCTTACCGTGATGCGTTGATAGATGACGAGGATCCAGAGCTGCTACTTTTTCATGCAGAAGAGGAGGATTCCGTCAATACCTTGAAGTGTTGTCTGGAGGTGCTTGAACTTACAAAGCAGCGTGAAGAAGAACAGAGCGAGCGCCTTGGAAGCTATCACAGACTTAGTTCAGCCGCCTGCATCTGATGAAAAAGAGGTGTTGGAGATTCACAGCTCTGCTGGAGCCAGTGACGAAGATGCCGAGATGCTGATATTACTTTCGAGCGTTCACTTTGGGCCGTCACTGATGATCGCCATGAACTAAGGCTCATACTACGTGCAGGCGTTGCAGGACCCGATTTTAATGGCCAGCATGCAGCAGGTACGGCTGGTGCAAGCGCTGGTTTTGTAATAGCCGTGCAATTCACGTTTGTGGCGATGTTGTGCTGCAGCTCATGGCCAACCCAAAGGACTTTGCGATAACGGCAACACTTCAAGAGCCTGTAGTGCGGGAGTTTTTCCTAAAGCTGATTGCGCTCTCCTGTAAGCCCGACAACGGTACAAGTTTTTGCTTGCTTGCGTACACTGATGTTTATTACCGGTATGTTTTGATGTAGTTGCGGTGCAAGAACAGAGTGACGAAGAGTGAGCTCTCACAACTCGTAGGCATGAGAGTGTTTATCCACCTATAAATGATAAGCCACGGAGCCAATCTATCGTTTAAGTCCATTATCATTATTTTTGTTCGCTCTTCGCCATTCTGCACTCGAAACTATGCTTGCCGTCTAGTAACAGAAGTAGAGACCAGTGTCTTCGCGCTCATCGCCTTTTTGTGGCAGACCAGTCTCGCCCACGTCCCGCAGGATCTTGTAGCGCTCCATGTCAGCCTCGTACTCCTCGAAGGTCTTAGCGCACACGCCGGCGTGCTGCTCCGCCAGTTGCGCGTACTCGGCCGAGCACTACTGCATGAATTGCGTCTCCTCGGCCGTGAGGTCGCGCAGGTAGCGAGCGGGAACACCCGATCAGAGTTGACCCGAGGGCACCTGCTTGCCTTTCGTTACGATGGATCCAGCCGTAATGATGGACGCCACTAGTGCTTGTACCCTCACCGGACCAGATATCCCAGGGCTGCTGACACCAGAACTGACTGTTACAGCACCAGAGATGGCGCTTGTGGCGGAGCTGATAGACACCTGGCCACTATTGCTCGTCGAGGATGACGCCGACCGCTCGTGATTTAACCCCACTCGCACTGTTCGTGGCGAGATGTCACTTTAGCAGCAAGTTTGATGTCGCCGCCCCGCCAGCTTCACCGATTCAAACAGATAGCTTACCGCGCCTGCAGTGCGTCCATGTGTAGATGAAATACCAACTTCGAATTGCACCAAAATAGAGTTTATTTTGGGTGATTATATATACAGTACTGCACCCCGTTTTCGCGGGGGTGGACCATATAGGATTTGCAAATAAATCTGATTTAGCATACAAACAATAGTTCATTTGGACTCAGGATCATCACATCCGGAAGTTTATCAAAGGTCCAAGGGCGCTAAAACGGGGTGCAGTACTGTACCCTACTTTTATTTTAGGCAAAATGGACTACCGATGCTTTAGTTTGAGACTACAAAAACCCAAAATTAATGACGATTATGGACTGACTACAAGAAACAGTCGATAGCTATGTATCGACCGGATTATATGTATCGTAGCATTTCCACTAGCACAGAATTATTTTTTCCACCTACACCAATTCTTAATTTAAGTATGTTACTTCACATTTCGTCTATGCACTACTTGTACAAATATCTATACAGTCGCAATTTCACTCAGTTAATAAATGTTTCCCAATTTTATCACGTGTATAAACTTGTATACTAACGGTTGCTCGAATATGGTTATTGCATCGTATGGCCCCATACCCAAAAAAAACAACACAAGTTTTCCAAAGTGTTGAGCAATGTGTAGCACGAGAAAGTACACGTGCAGCGTTAAAACCCACGTCAAAACAGTGATTTTGTGGTAAAAGATCGGTATTCCGTATAAAACACCGACGCTTACTTACTACCGTACCTCACAAAAGTAAATGCTTTTGGTCATCGAGAAATGGCACTCATCTTACCGTTTAAAAGCGGGCTGGCAAAGCAAATATGCAATCTTCGTGTTAATATTTAGCTTAGAAATTTCAAAATTAAGACTCGCCCAATCTCTCCACCACACAAGGTTTTCTGCTGTCTGGTTCAGCAGAAGTGAGTTGTAGACTTCGTTTTCTTGTAGAAGGCCTATGTGTTCTTGAAAAGCCTGGTTACTGGGCTGTCGTGGATCCTGGCCGAGTCGCTTGAACATGTACTCAATCTTCCTGTCAGCGTTCTGCTTTTCATTTACCATTGAAGCGGCCTCTTCGACGCATTGAATCACTTAGCCTCGATCAACGTTGTACTTATTACCGGGTGGGATGGTTTGTGACACCTTCCATCGCATAAAGTTTTTCTTAATAGCAGCTTTCAAAGGTCGGTTGACGTAGAGATCGCAGTTTGCATGATAGAAGTTAATCCAGCGGGAATAAACTCATACATGATACCTTTCTCGTTCAAGTAGTCAATCATTTCCTGACAAATGTGAGCTGAAGCTGCATCCCAAATGAGACCAATTTTTCGACCCGGGTATAGACTAACCAAAACGTCCGCGTACTTTTTTGCGGTTGGCGTGTCCATCCAGTGTGAAGGTTGAAAATGAACGCTTGCATCACCTCCTTCATCACGCCACGTAGCAAAACGTCTAGCAAGTGTGCCATTGTGAGTCGCGGTCATCACAATAAAAGGAGGAAGGACCTTCGAGGAGTACATTTCTGCAGAAACCATCACTATGCATCCCTTTTTGGCATCTGAAGCCACATTAGATCCAACTCGTTGCGTTCCAGTAGGTACCACAAACTCTGTGTCTCTAGGGAAGAACTTGATAAACACCTCGTCGGCATTGATTAAAACTGTACACCCGTCCAGCTTGGTGCGAATCTTCTGT